CCGCCCAGGCGGGTCTCGAATCCGCGGGCTCAGGCAATCCACTCACCTCAACCTCCCAAAGGCGCGGGATTACAGGCTGAGCCACCGATCCCGGCAAAATTTTTTTTTTTTTGTAGAAAAATACAGCCTTGATCTCCTGGACTGAAGTGATCCTCTTGCCTCAGCCCCCTGAGTAGCTGAGGCTTTAGGCACATACCACCATGCCCAGCTAATTAAAAAAACGTTTTTTTGTGGAGACAGGATCTTGTTATGTTGCCCAGGCTGCTCTCAAACTCTTGGGCCCAAGCAATTCTCCTGCCTCAGCCTCCCAAAGTGCTGGGATTACAGGCGTGAGCCACTGTGTCCATCTAAAAGTTGCATTTTAAAGAAACATCCCACAGGTGGTCTAAGGATCACACTCTGATCTATCTAACAGATCTAAACCAACTGATCTATTCACGAATATTTATTAAGCAGCTACTATGTGTCAGGTGAAGGTTGGTCTTCATTCTAGGAATACAGAAGGGAAAAAGAAGTCTGTGCCTCTGTGGAATTTACATTCTAGAAAGGGTAGAAAATATCAAGAATACAAATAAATGTAGATAGCTGGTGACATAAAACAGTGGGCAGAGGGGACATGGCATGAGCCTGGGTGGCAACAAGGCCTCTCTTTGAGGGCACTGTGGAACAACAGGAAGGAACCAGCCAGCAAACAATTGGAGAAGCATCCAGATGGATCTTCCTTTTTTCCTAAGCTCCCCTCAACCTAGGCCCTGATCCAAGAATGTCTCAAAGGAAACCAAGTCCAGAATAGTAAAGCTCCAGCCTTTATTACCAAGGCTTTCAAGGCCAGGGTAGAAGGGTCAGAGAAGATGGCAATGAGGAAGATCTGGATGGTCCCTTCCCTCCCAGTCATGGTGCCCCCCAACTTCAGGCTGGGGCAGAAATCTGATTCCCTGCCTTTTGGGAAACCTGGTCCCTACACTACTTCCCTCACTTAAGTATCCCCAGAATCTCAAGCCAAGCTAGAGCTGAGTCAGCAAGGTGTGACAATGCCCAGTCTGCAAACTGGCCTCCTGGTACCTCATGAACACTGCCTGTATGGGCAGTCTCCGGAGCATCCTTCCTGATATGAAGTCCAGGTCCTTAGGAATCCCAGGGATGGGCCCGATCCTCAGGATTACAGAAAACGTGACATCACCAAAGAGAGACTGATCCCCAGCCTCGCAGTTTGGACAACACATTAGGAAGATGTGAGACTGAGACCTCCTAGGAGGGGGAGGGAGCCTTGTGGCATGGTGAGACTCCCAGGGCAGGTGGACAGCCAAGGACTGGAGGTGCCAGGGTCACTTCTTCTTGGCACGGTCTGCCACGTCCAGGGCAGCAATGTTTCGGGCAGCTGTGACGAGGTGGATGACGCTGATAAGGGACTTGAGCAAGGCGATGGGGGCCGTGATCCACAGGCCCATTCGGAACAAGCCCACGGAGCCAACTGCAGGAAGGCAACAGAGAAGTGAGGGGCCCAGAGCAAGAAGCCTTCATCACCCCAGCAGGCCAGAACCCCCTCCTCCTGTGAGGCCTCCCATTTCCTACCTAAAGGTCCCTCGGAGAAGTTGAACAGGTAGAGGAGGCAGTAGAAGAGCTCATTTCCAGCACACATGGTGAAGAGTGCAGGCTGCACAGACACAAAAAGGCTGCTTAAGCAAGAGGCAGTGTGCCACGCCCCATGAGTCATCACTAAGGAGGGAGGGTACAATCTCAGTATATTACTTCTCTTTTCAAAAGTCCTGGCCAGGTGTGGTAGCTCATGCCCCAAATTCCGGCACTTTGGTAGGCTGAGGTGGGAGGATTGCTTGAGTCCAGGAGTTTGGGACCAGCCTGGGCAACAAAGCGAGACCTCGTCTCTACAAAATTTAGCGGGTGTGGTGGTGCCTTTAGTCCTAGCTACTCAGGAGGCTGAGGCGGGAGGATCGATTGAGCCCCAGAGGTCATGGCTGCGGTGAGCTGTGACTGTGCCACTGCACTCCAGCCTAGGCAACAGTGAGGCCCGACTCAAAAAGAAAATTCTTTTCAAAGGCTGCCTGTGCCCCTGGAATAAAGTCCACATCCTGGCCCCACAGACCTCTCTGGCTTACCTCCCCCAATCCCTTCTCCCTCCAGTCACTCAGTTCCTCCTCCCAGGGTATATTCCACTTGCTTCCTGGAGCAAATGACACAGGCCCTCCCCATCAAGCCATCTCCTTCATTCCTCAGTTTACAGCCCATCCTCCCCACCCTTCCAGAGAGACTGGGCTGGCCCTTTTCTGCACTTGTGCCATCTTGTACTGCAGGGCTAGGGTTCAGCCCAGGACTTCCCATAAGCTAAGTAAATAAGGGAGGAGCAGAAAATGCTCACCCTTGAGGTGTAGTAGATCCGAAGCACCGGATTCCCAGACAGGTCGATCATTTTGTGACTCTCACTGCCTCGAACCACAGAACTTGGGGAGAAAACAGGGCAAGTCTTTGAGCTTTCATGACTACGACCATGGATCTAATCCTCTTATCAACCCTGCAAAGCAGATACTGGGATTGCTTCTATTGTACAGATGAGGGCCTGTATCTTACCCAGAGTCCCACAATTACCTAGTAGGGCGCAGTCAAGATTCAAATGCTCACATGCCCGTTCCAAGGACCTGTCACTCACTTAGAATTTTAGAATCTCCAGCCAGAATGGTTTTAAGAATAGTTTAATCGGCCGGGCTCGGTGGCTCAGCCTGTAATCCCAGCACTTTGGGAGGCCGAGGTGAGTGGATTGCCTGGGCAACTCGACGAGACCTCATCTCTACAATAAATAAAAAAAAAAAATTAGCCGGGCATGACAGCGTGTGCCTGTAGTGCCAGGTACTTGGAAGGCTGAGGAGGAAGGATCACCAGAGCCCAGTAAGTCGAGGCTGCAGTGGCCAGGAGCGGCCACTGCACTCCAGTCTGAGTGACAGAGTGAGACTCCGACTCAAAAAAAAAGAATGGTTTAATCTAGCTGTAAACGTGACTGAAGTTTATTCAGAGAGAGACAGGGCTTGCCCAGGGTCCTTCCACAAAGCAGAGCTAAAAGGAGACCTTCCACGAAGCCTAAAACCAACCGGACACCTCTCCATCTACCCTCATCCCTACCCACTGTAGTGTGTTCAACTAGTCAACACCCCCTAGAATCGCAACAGACCTGTGGAGGTGCAGCCAGTGACTGGCCACATCCAAACTCATGCTGAGCTGGAAGAGGAGCGTGGCTCGAGGGTACAGCAGGGCCAGGTTGACCAACAGACACATGGTGGAGCAGCGATCCGTCAGCATGTCCAGCATGGCCCCAAACCGGGTTCCTGGAAAATGGGGACTATTAGGTGGGCAGGGGCTGTGAGGGAGCAGTGGTTGTCGGCTGCGTGCCCATATTTGGTGTAACACTCTGCTGCAGAGTCTAAAAGATTGAAAGTGTCCACCTGCCTGGGGAGGAAGACAGGCTGCTATCAGTGGGGTGTGAGATTGACAGGTAAGGATCACCATGATGTGAAATAAAGAGGCATGAGAGTGGAGGGAACAATGTAGGAAGGGGGGGTGGGACAGCCACCTCTACAACTCATCAACCCCAGAACCAAGGTTCCCGGGCAAGACAAGGAGACTTGATGTCTTAGGGGAACTCTTAGACATGGGTCTAGAGACCAAATTAAAGAATTAGTCAACCCTCCAGAAGCCACCCCCCTTTCTTCTCCATCCTCTCTCTAGACATGCCTTCTAGAATCCCTATCGTTTGTGCTGGGTACACAGTAGGCCCCCAGTAAACACCTGTTGAATACATTTTTATTCGGAGAGATCTCCAGCAGTGCCTCCGCCATGTCCAGTCTTGCTATTCCACATCCCTCCAAGCAGTGAGTACTCAAGAGCTAGCTCAAATTCTTTCTGCTACAAAACCAAGCCACTCTGATCTGCTTTCTACAGAGAAGGGAATGACAGCCTTCTGACCCCGAGATCCTGAGGAGGCAGGGAAAGGGGGCAGGGGGCCGCTGGGCCCCAAGGCTGGCTGGGAGGAGGTGTCTGTCACCTTGGTTAAGGGCTCGAGCAGCGTGTCCATCGAAAGCGTCCAGAAGGCCGCTGAGCAGGTAGAAGGAGGAGGCCGTGAGGGGGCAGCAGGGCATGAAGTAGAAAGAAATGATGGCGAAGACAATCCGGGCATAACCTTAGAATGGGACGGGGGGGAGACAGGGCTGGATTAGGGCGTCTGCCCAAGTTCCTCGCCCTGCCGCTCGGCCTGGGGCCAAGGACAGCACTCACCGATGAGGTTAGGCACAAACAGGAAGATATTTTCGCCCGGCATCGCGGCGGTCCCCTTGTCGCCCTGGCCGGTTCTGGAGGTGTCAGCGCTGTTCCAGCCTTGCGGCGCGGCCTCACCCTCCGGCCCGGCGCATCGGCCGCCCTACCTGCGCACTGGACCCTACCGGCCCGGCCTGGCCCCAGATGTTAGAGCACGCAGCCGGCCGGAGCACGGGCCGACCCAGATGTGTGCGGGGCGCAGGGGGAGCGCACACCCCACCCTTCGGATGGGCAGCCCCTCGCCTCCGCCTACCCCGTAGGCGCTTCGCCTCCAGCAGCGGTCCCGGCCGCTCCAGCCGTGTGTGGCTTCCAGGAGCCCACTCTTCTGCCCCTGTCGTTGCAAAACTGGAGAAAGGGAAAACAGGTTTAAGAAATGGCTGCGGCCCCTTTAAGGCCTGCCCGCTTCCTTTTCCTTTTCCTCACTCCGCCCCTTTCCATCGGCTCGTACCAAAGTACAGAGGGAGGGGGGGGGAAAGGACCATCGACCCCGAGCGAAGGAAGGAACAGCAAGGAAAAGAGCATAAGAGAAGGAGACCGAGAAGACTGTATCTACTCTCCTTTACACGGGAGGTATCACCTCCTGCAGACAAAGATAAGGCGATAAGATTCTGCTCTCCTGAGGCTTCGCGCCCCCGAGAGATAAGGTTATTTAGTACAGTCCACATTTTTTCTCCCCGCCCCTAAGTCTCTGGCCTCCTTGGCTCTCGCAGGCTCCAGAGTGCGAAGTGGCGGATAGAGAGGCTGAAGAGCGGCCTGACGCGGGCTGCTTCTTGCGTGCCCCTAGTGGTGGGAGGATTAGGTCCCAAGCTCCACCCTACGTAGTCTTCCCAAATTCTCAAGCCTCTGGTTTTGGGATCGCTGCTCCCAAGGAGGGACTTGGAGAGGTACTAAGGGAGGCCAGAAGGAAGAGCGAACGGAGCATGCTAGGAAAATGCCTCTGTCTCTAGTTCTAGAACCCCTAATCTCCTAGCAACGGCCTGCGAAACTTCCGCAAACACCAAGATCACCCCTCTTTTCAGCCTTCCTCCCCAACTCCCGCTCCCCGTCCCCCGCGACCTAAAATAGGGGCTCTTAGACCTCCTCCTCGCCCCTCCTGCCAACAGCCCAAGATTTCAACCCATCTGCCAGGTCCGTGGCGGCAAGTCAGCTGCCTTAGCTTGGGAAGGGCCTTGGGAGGGAAGAAGGGAAGAAGAAACCCTCTGGGTGAAATGGGGTGAGGGAGTGTTGTAGGAATTTCTCCTCCCTCCCAAAGATATAAGGCAACAGTTTATTGCTTTGTTTTGTTTGGGTCAGAGAGAGAACTGAGACAGCGGGATGTTTCATCCAAAGGCCTTGTTTAAATCTGGGTCCAGGGAATGGTGTGGTGGGATGGGTTCTCAGTCTAACATATGCTTCGACTATTCCCAGGGGCATGGCATCCACTCCTACCAGGAATGAGGAGAAAAAGGGCTGCTGGCAGTCTCAAGCTGCATCCTCCTTGAGTGGAGATCCGGTGAGCACTGGAGATGGGAGTGTAATTAAGTGAAGCATTCCAGGGCAGAGACACCCAGTCCTAGGTTTGGGTCACAAGTCCTGAGACTCTAGTCTCAATCCTGAGCCCTTACATGCAGACCCATAGTCCTCAGCACTAGGCTCTGAGGCCCTGAAAGACTGCCCTCCACCCAGGTCCAGGGCCTTCTAGCCAAGTCTCAAGGCTCAACTCTCCAATACCAGGCTTCTTGGACCCGGAGGACCCAGCCTGGGAGCTCCCAGGCCCAAGACTCCCACGTAGGAGCTTCCAGGCTGAGCCTCTCTGACTTTTCCTTTCCTAGGAGATTGCATTTTCTCAATCTGAAGAATTCCTGTCCCGGATCAGCACAGAACTCACAGATGAGGCCTTGTTTATCGCTCGCTGCCACATGAGCCCTGTGCCCATCAAGAAAAAGCAGACACAAGACCAAGGGACTCAAATATCCAGACACGGTGATCCCTGCCTCAGAACAACTATGTCTAGAGACCCTTCCACATCCCTGGTTTCAGCCCCTGACCCCTTCCTACCACTAGCTGACCTCTCCAGGAATCTATGCCCATCTCTCTGCCAGCCCTAGGACTCACACAGCACCCCCTACCCACTAACTTAGCACCCGCTTCTCAGTGCTGGCCAGCCCCTCAGCCCCTTCTGACCCATTCACATCTCTTTCTGGCCATGGGGATGGACATTTTTCTGACTGGGGCCTCTACTTCCAGCGTTCTTCACCAAGACCCGAGGCACAGATAATACCCGGTGAGTGAGACTTAATGGAAGATGTCCTTTTTTTGCCTGGGAGAAAGATGAAGAGTCTGGAGGGGAAGGAGGGAGGGTTTTGATAACATCTCAGCAGGATAGGGGGATTTTTGAACCCTGAAGTTCTATTCTATTCTGCCCTGACCCTCAAATTCAGAGTTCTCAGCCCTCTCCCCTCTCTTCCACAATCTCCAGCTCTGAAAAGAACCATTCCCGCACCAAGGCACACCTCCTGCCATCCCCTCGTGAAAAGGTATGCACAGGGTCCATGGATGACAGGGCCATCCAGTACCAATCAAACCTTTCAAGTTTGCTCTATATACCTGTCTTAGGAGCTAGGACACAGAAATGAATGATACAGTCTTAACCTTTAAAGAGTTCACAGTTTAGGGTGGGGTAAAACAAGTAAATGGCCTATTACCACACACTGTGGATAAGTTCCCATGATAGAAATGGAAACAATAAGAGTACTTATCTCAGCCTCAACCGGGACAGAAAGAAAAGGTTTCATGGAGCTTCTTGAAGGAGGTAAAAGAAAGCATTGACCAGAAAAAAAAAAAAGGGTCCCAAGCAGTAGGGATTGTATGAACAGAGGCAGAGGTGGGTCTTAGCAGAGTGAACGTGAACAGTTGTGTGTGCACGTAGGGCAGGGGAGGATAGGACCCGAAGCAGTTCAGCTGCTGGAGTATGCAGGCAGGTCAGCAGGGACTTACCAAGACAGATTTTATATGTGCCTTATTAAGACCCATAGACACTTTCCTACAGTTGAGGAGCCACTGAAGAGTCTGAGCAAAGGAGGCTGGAATTTTTGATCAGTCACTTTGATGGTCAGTGAGAGGAGTGACCTGGAAAGGGCCTTGGGGCAGGAAGACTGGTTAGGAATTATTCCAAAGACACCAAGCTAGAGATGATTAGATCTTAAATTATCACAGTAAGAGTAGGGATGGGAGGAGGGGCTCATATGAGGAATAAAGCATTGATAAGTTTGATAATTGATTGGAAATGGTAGGAAGGAAAAAAAGGAACCAGAAGACTACCAGGTTTCTGACTTGAGCAACCTAAGTCTGATCATGTCATGTTTCTGCTTAGAACTCTGCAGTAGCATCCCATTTCAGAGTAGAAGGCAAAGTCCTTCAGTGGCTTACAAAGCCTTGCAAGATCTCTCCTTCCCCTAACCCACTGTCTCTTGATCTCATTGCCTATAACTGTTCCCTCTTTCTCACGCTTGCCTTCTCATTCTTTCTGGAACATGGCTGGTGTGCTCCCTTTAGACACATTGGGTTTGAGGTGCTTATGGAAACTCCACATGGAAATACCTTGTAGAAAGTAGGAAATATGGGTTCAAAATTCACTGGAGAAGGCTAGGCACTGTGGCTCATTGCCTGTAATCCCAGAACTTTGGGAGACTGAGGTGGGAGGATCACTTGAGTCCAGGAGTTTGAGACCATCCTGGGCAAGATAGCAAGACCTCATCCCACAAAAAAAAAATTAGCTGCGTACCTGTAGTCCCAGTTACTCTAGGGGCAGAGGTGGAAGGATCACCTGAACCCAGAAGGTTAAGGCTGCAGTGAGCTGTGATCATACCATTGCACTCCAGCCTGGGTGACAAAGTGAGACCTCAACTCCAAAAGAAAAAAACTTCACTGGAAAAGCCTAGGCTAATGACAGAGATCTGATCTGGGGATCATCAGGAGGAAGTTGGCAGTTGAAGGGAGGGTATGTGGTTGCCCTGAGGAGGTTTGTATAAGAAGGCACTGAGGATGGAGCCCATGGAAGGGTTGGCTGAGGAGAAAAGAGAGGTTCATGAAGGAGGAGGAGAAGGAGCTGACAGTCAGCAAATGTTTACTTAGTGTCTATTATGTGCTAGGTCCACCAAGACATGGGGGCAGCCATTTAAGGGGGTGGGTCACTATTCAAGTATTTGTCACCAAAACCGGAGGCATATATATGCTGAGAACAAGCCACTGTTCTTACCCTTAAGGAGCTTTCTAGTGCCTTTGGGACATTTGATCTTCACCAATTGGGCTGGGGTGTTAGAAGCAGCTTGAAACAGCAGAAAAGCTCTATGCCTTAATAACTGATCTGCTATGGACTTGATAGTTAGCATTGTGGCATTTGCTTCCCTTCTCCTTGTCTGTCAGGATGCTCTGTGAGAGCCATGTCTGTCAATACGGTGATTCTCCCTTCTTCTCAAATGGCACTTGATCAAGGATTTCATCCTGAGCTAATACCTTCCTTTCATCCACCTGCCAGCCCCCATGGTCCCAGGAACATGGACGCCTACAGATCTTGGCCGGGTGTGGTGGTTCATGCCTGTGATCCTAACACTTTGGGAGGCCAAGGTGGGAGGATTACTTGAGCCCAGGAGTCTGAGACCAGCCTAAGCAACACACAAAAATCAAAAAATTAGCTGGGTGTTGTGGTGCCTACCTCTAGTCCCAGCTACTCGGGAGACTGAGGCAGAAAGATCACCTGAGCCCCAGAGGTCGAGGCTTTTGGTGGGCCATGATCATGCCACTGCATTCCAGCCTGGGCAACAGAGTGGATCTCCAACTCCAAAAATAAATAAAGAGAGAGAGAGAGTAAGAGAAAGAAAAGAAAACATGGAAGCCTACAGATCTTCAATTGCCTCTTGAATTGTGGGGCATTGTGGCTAGTCAAAAATGTTGGGTGGGGACTGATTGAATGGATGGGATGGTAGGTAAATTGGTGAATGGATAAGTGGATAGATGAACTAAGCACAGCTCTAGGGACCGGAGTGTTATAGTGAACAAAACAAAGCCCCTGCTCTCAAGTGGTTTAGTGGGGGTGAGTGATTAGCTGGAACAGAGATAAGTGGGTGGGTGGATGGATGCGTGGAAGGATGGATGGGGAGTGGTGGGTGGTGTGAATGAATGGGTAAAAGGGGAAGGTGGGTAGATGGGTAAATGGACAGATGGGAAAATGGAGAGATGGTGAATGGTGGATGATAAATGGTTGGGTGGTGGGTAGGGGTTGGATGGATGAATGGAAGATGGAAGGGTAAGAAGACATAGCCTCGGGTCTAAAGAGTCCAAGGCTTCTGTTTCTTTCAGGGTGCTCTTCCTAACAGCTTGATATCTGGAAAATGAGCCCAACCCTCTTTGGTGCTGCTCTTGGCCTCATGCTGTTCCCCATTTTGCTAGAACATGCCTCAAAACTCTTCTTTTGCAACTCATTAACCACTTCGGTGAGGGGGGGACTCCTGGTCATGAGCAGCATTGCCCTGAAGCTTGCAGTGTCTTGGAACCATCACATGACTCTCCACTCTCAGCCAGCAAGGCAAGGACACCACCAGGAATAAAAGTCTTGAATAAAGAGACAGGGATCCTCCCCTCCCCTCAAATTAGATGGTCTGGTGTCCATTCTCTGGGGGGGGGGGCAGTTG